AGTAGATGTTTACGCAGATGTCTTTCCAGCATCCACAATGCTACATCCCTTAGAGAAAGCCATCTGGCCTGCGTTTGCTCTATAAGGTCTGCTTATTTCATTAGAATGCTGAACTAAGGGAGGTATTTCCATTTTCAGGATTTCTTCTTTACCTCATCAGTTTCCCATGCCTTTTTTTTTTTTTTTTTTTTTTTAAAGAAAGGAAGAGAAGGAAAAGGGGGAGAGAGAACAGGAGTCTTGCTCTATTGCCCAGGCTAGAATGCAATGTAAAAATAGGTATTAAAAACCACTTTTATGCCAATAATTGTGCTTAAAAAGTGGAGACAGGAAGGAATAAGGGAAGAAAATAACAAACAGCCAACCAATATTTCATTTAAGTCTGTGAAATGCTATACCAATGCTGAAGAGTGATTTACTTCCAATTGTGTGGTCACTTTCAAAATAGGTATAATGTGATACTGAGAAAAATGTATGTTCTGTGGACCTGGGGTGACAAATTCTATAAATATTCACTGAGTTTACTTGCTCCAGGTCTGAGTTCAAATCGTAGATGTTCCTGTTAATTTTCTATCTTGTTGATCCGTCAAATATTAACAATGTGGTGTCAAAGTCTCCCGCTATTATTGTGCGGGAGTCCAAGTCTCTTTATAAGTCATTAAGAACTTTTCTTATTTATCTGGATGTTCCTATATTGGATGCATATATATTTATGATCCTTGACTCCTGTTGTTGCATTGCTCCTTTTACCATTATGTCCTTCTTTGTTTTTTTTAGTCTTTGTTACTATGAGAGTCTATTTTGTCAAAGACGAAAGTTACAACTCCTGTTTTTTTTGCTCTCTATTTGATTGGTAAGTCTTCCACCAACCCTTTGTTTTGAGTCTTTGTGTATCCTTGCTTATGAGATGGATCTGGATACAGTGAACCAATGGGTTTTGACTTTTTATTCAATTTGCCTGTCTGTGTTTTTGATTGGGACACTTAATTCATTTAAATTTAGGATTAATATTGATATTTGTGAGTTTAATATTGTCATTTAATGCCAGCTGGCTATTTTGCCCATTAGTTGATATGGATTCTTCATTATGGAGATACTCTTTACCTTTTGGTAAGTTTTTGGGATGACTTATACTGGTTGTTCCTTTCTGTGTATAGTGCTTCTTTCAGAAGCTCTTGTAAAGCAGGCCTGGTGGTGATGAAATCTCAGTGCTTGCTTGTTCACAAAAAAATTTTATTTTTCCTTCATTTATGAAGCTTAATTTGGCTGGATATGAGATTCTGGGTTGAAAATTCTTTTCTTTGAGGATTTGAATATTGACCCCCATGTCTTCTCATTTGTGGGGTTTCAGCTGAGAGATGTGCTGTGAGTCTGATAGGCTTCCCTTTATGGGTAACCTGACCTTTCTCTCTAGCTGCCCCTAGAATTTTCTCCTTTATTTCAACCCCAGTGAATCTAATGATTATGTGTCTTGGGGTTGCTCTACTTGAGGAATATGTTTGTGGTGTTCTCTGTATTACCTGCAGTTGAGTATTGTCCTACCTTACTAGGTTAGGAAGGTTTTCCTGAATAATATCCTGAAGAATATTTTCTAGCTTGGATTCATTCTCTTCACGACATTCAGGTACATGTATCAAATGTAAATTAGGTCTTTTCACATAGTCCCGTATTTCTTGGAGACTTTGCTCATTCCTTTTTACTCTTTCTTCTCTAATCTTGTCTTCTCGTTTCATTTCATTAAGTTGGTCTTCGACCTCTGATATCCTTTCTTCTGCTTGATCAATTTGACTGTTAAAACCTGTGCATACTTGGCAGAGTTCTCGTATTGTATTCTTCAGTTTCATTAATTCACTTATATTCCTCTCTAGATGGTCTATTCTCATTAGGATTTTGTCAAACCTTTTTTCAAGGTTCTTAGTTTCTTTACATTGGACTAAAACATGTTCTTTTAACTCACAGAAGTTTCTTATTATTCACCTCTGAAGCCTAATTCTGTTATTGAAACGCACTTGTTCTCCATCAGGCTTTGCTCCCTTGTTGATGAGGAACTGAGATCCCCTGCAGAGGGAGAGGCATTCTGATTTTGTGTATTCTCAGCCTTTTTACGCTGGTTTCTTCCCATCATTGTAAATTTATCCACCTGTCATCTTTGTAATTACCGACTTCCAAATTAGGTCTCTGAGTAGACGTCCAACTTGTTGATTCCCAGTGCTGGAATCTGAGCAACCCACTGCGCCGGCTAAAACAGCAGCGTTAAGATTGGTGGTGCTTTTCTGCCCGGGAATCTCCAGTCTGGCGTCCTTCTTGAGTCCCTGTTTCGATCAGCTGAATAGACGACTCTGCCTTCCCAGAGCTCCTAACATCGACCAAAAGGGGACCCAGTCCCATTTACTCTGCACCAAGAACCACCGTGCTGGGGCGTTGGCAAAACCATCGTGCCGGCCACAAGAGTCATGCAGGCGACCCATGGGGCTCCTCCGCTGGGAATCTCCTGGTCCGTGAGCAACAAAAATTAGTCTGAAAGTGTGGCATCCTCTGGTTCTCGGAGCTTTCACTGGGAGCTACAAACCTGAGCTGCTAATAATCAGCCATCTTGGATCTCTCTCCCAATTTCCCACGTCTTAAGGTCTTTATGGTTAAGAAAAGAAATTGCAGTGACCCACTAAATCTGAAAAGATTTGGTAATTATCATCATCAAAACAGTGTCTTGAGTGACCTTGTCCTCTGCCTTTCTCTTTTTTGCTGATGGCGTCCTGCTCAATCAGCCTTTGGCCAGTGTTCTCCTTAAGATCGAACACCATGCCATCAATTAAGGTACAGAGTTCTGATGGGGAGACATTTGATTTGGAAATTGCCAAACAATCTGTGACTATCAAGACCTTGTTGGAAGATTTGAGAATGGATGATAGCGATAATGACCCAGCTGCTCTACCAAATGTTAATGTAGCAATATTTTTAACAGGTCATTCAGTGGTGCACCCATCACAAAAATGGCCCTTCTCCTCCTGAGGATGAGGCAAACAAAGAAAAAGAACAGAGGAGATCCCTCCTTAGGACCAAGGATTCCTGGAAGTCAACCAAGGAACACTTTTTGTACTTCTGGCTGCAAACTACTTAAACATCAAAAGTTTGCTTGATGTTACATGCAAGACTATTGCCAACATGAGCAAGGAGAAAAGTCCTGAGAAGATTTGTAAGACTTCCCATATCAAAAATGACTTTACTGAAGAAGAGGAAGCCCAGGTATGCCAAGAGAACCAGCTGTTTAAAGAAACGTGAAATGTTGTAGTTGACGTTGTCACACTGTAAGAAATGTTACAAATACTAGCTGCCCTGCTCTGTTTATAATTGTCAATATCACACAAAGAGCAGAGAAATGCAGCAGCAAATCAATCACATGAACAGAATATTGTCCCCAGTAAATGTGTAGTTAAGAGTACAGATTCCAAACCTATGGCTGAGTTTCTCACAGTATGATCAAAAGTTTCTTTTTTCTTTGCTGTGAATAAAACTGTACTGCAGGTTCTCTGTAGAAAATGGCATTTTGGGGTTTCTCTCTTTTTTGTAAAGTGACAACTGCCTAGATTATTGTCCAGTTAACTTTAGTGACCTTTTAAGGTTGGCATTGTAAATAAAACAACTTGCAAAAGAAAAAAAACAGCAAAACCCGAAACAATGTTTTCAAGCTTATGACCAATGTTAACATCCACAATCCTTTATTGAAGATAGTGTCTATTTATTAATCACAGAGTAACATGGGGCTAACGACAGCATCTGCTTAGTGAGGCTGCTGTGCAGTTTAAAAGAGACAATGCTCATAAAGCTTCTAGCATACTGTGTGGTATTAGATAAAGAGCTCAGAATTTTATTCCTTATAGCAACGCTGTGATGAGGTATTCTACTATGTCAAAGGTGAGAACACTGAGGATTAGTGGGAGTGACTCACTCCGTTGACAGAGCCAACACATAGCAGTTCTTTTCATCAGCACACCATATTCACTCTGGTCTAGCCAGAGGTTTAACTATTCAGGACAATGCCTAGTTCTTGCTAGAGTCTCTGGAGTCAATGCTGGATTTAAATCTGATATTTACCTCTATCAGCTGTGAAACACTAAGCAAATCAGTGAAGCTCTCTGAATCTGTTTCCTCAGTTCAAGGACCTATTTCAGAAGGTGATTTTGAGTATTAAACACCAGTAAATAGAATGTCTCAATAAGTAACACCTTTCATTTAATAAAAATTAACTGGGCTTCTACTAAGTGCCAGCACTGTTCTAGGTCAGAATCTCCAAATTTATCTGCATATCAGAATCGTCTGTGTCAAATTTAAATCTCAACTCCCTGGTCATGCTAGAGACCAGTTAAATCACAATCTAGGGGGCTGGACACAGGCATCAGTGTTTTGTGAAGCATCCCAGGTGATTCCAATGTGCAAACAACCTTGGAAGTCACTGTATGTTAGGAACTGAATTCAAGTTCCTTCCCTTAGGGAGCTCCTTGTTTACTCACTCTACTGTTCTAAGCATTTCACACCTGACCCCTTCCTTTTGGACTCCTCACTGTTACTGATGTAGCTCAGGTCCTCAGCACCTCTCCATGACCTTGCTAACTTGACCCGATCACTACTACCACTTAGTCCCATCTTGCACAAAGCTCAGCTCTGATCATATCAGCCCCATGCTCAGAATCACTAAATGAACTCCCTCTGGCTATCAACTCCTCAGTCTAGCCTTCAAAGCCCTACACAAAAGGCACCTGCCCATCTCTCCTCCCTATCCTTGGACAATGCCTTATGTCTGCCGATCTGCAAGCAGGCTCATTCATGAGAATGAGGAAAAAAATCCTCCTAATACTAGATAGCCAGTCTATTGCTCACTTATAAAAAAAAAGTTCCCCAATTTAAAACTGTGTTCTTTTAAACAATCGTAACCTTAGTTTTAAGATGCCTTTAATTTCACAATTTTATACTTTCAGATTAAACACCAAAAAAAGAATTCCTTTTACCTTAATTTAAGGAGTGGCTGGGTCACCCACTTCTTTAACTTCCGTCTCCCAAATGAAGTTTTAGTGTGGTCTAAAACCCAAAGCAAACTTCCTTTGGTTTTCATATCAGTCTAAGAAAGACCAGAAAACAAGTTTTATTAACTAGACAATTATTTTGCCCCAAATTATTATTTCATATACCCTGATTCTAAATGTCATATATTCCTAGCACAATGCGTGGCACATAAGAGGTGTTCATTTAATGTTTGACAGATGAATAACTACATAGATTCTTTTGAAATGTACACTTATCTAAGCATCTTTAAAATATAATTGCATACTTTACTATCTTGAGAACTACAATGTATTGAAGATGACTTAATTTTCCTTTGGTGTTTCACAGTTACCATTTTATAGACCAATGCACTCATGACAACACTGAACAAGGTGCTAGAGACAGATATAAACCTGCACTGCACTCTAGGTATTTACCCAGGAAGGAATTTCAGCCTGTTTTACTAAATCCCTAGAAGAGTTTGCTTTTGCCACTTAAAATTTGGGTCTTTAAAAAAATCACAATTAACCAGAGATAGTTAATTTTAACCAAGTTTTCACAGTATTACAAAGCCCACTGAGATATTTAAATTTTGAGACCTAAAATGGCTGTTTCCACTTGAGTTGGGTTTTTTGGTCTTTTCTTTATTCCTTCTCCTCTGTAAGTAGCTACTTCCAGAGTACCTTCTATGTGCCAGACATAGCAAGGACATGGTTCCTCCGTCAAGATGGGAAAAGACTCGTAATTAGGATTCCTGCCAGGAATCAACTAAAAAAGGTGTGATATAAGCTCTCAGGTCTCAGGAGTTCAACGCAGAGAGCACAGAGAAGGTACAAGGTCAGAAAGGTTCCTCTGAGGATGGGCTGGACAGGCACAGCAGACAGGGGAGGACAGTCCAGATCAGCAGCAGCACTATATGTTCCTGAGATCAGAGCCTGACTGGCCTGACTGGGGTAAAGGGTCCCATGAGGAGGACAATTCCCTGATACCAGTGTAGAAGCAGGCTCAGGCAAGAGGGGTGGGAGAGACACGTGTCCTATCATATCTTTGTTCTTGCTGACACCCAACCCCACCTTTCACCTCTTTCCATTGCTCTATGGAAAGGGGTGGGGTGGGGGAGTTGAGGTACAAAGACAAGCAGATGTTAATTCTTAGCTTCTCTTTCTAAAATGGTGCAAGGCCCAACAAAGGAAGAAATTTTAAAGGGTATTTTAATTATAGATGATTTTTGCCTTAGGAATTTGATTTCAGAACTGACTCTGTTGTAGTAGGATTTGAACAGAGAAGATGCGGCAGAAGCAAGGAATGCTTACAATGCCAGGGCTGCTGCAGGCTGACTGTGAGCACTCCTTCAGCCAAGAAATGCCCCTTGACGCCTACTACTTGTTTCCTATCATGGAGATGGCTACAGAGTTGATGAGTGAGACCTGCAGGACAGATTCTCAGCTTTTAGATGATGACAAGATAAAAACGTTACTGAAGAAAAATATGTCTGAATTCAGCATAGCAGAACAGACTGGAACAGGAAGAAATTAAGGGAAACTAGTTATTAATATATAGATTCAGGAGTCAGGAGAATAAATTCAGCATTTACTTTAATTTGCAAAAGTAATAAATATTTCTGAAGAGCTTTAACTCCTTTGATTCAGACGGTTCTGGTTCTCCACTACTTAATCAAATGACTGGGGGTTGCTTTTTATCTCTATGACTTTGTTAGGATAACATTAATTTCATAATATCTCATCTTCCCAAGTGATAATTTAATAAATGAAAGCAATAACTTTAATCTCTCCATTATCTTCCTAATCCATCAATAAAAGACAAACAATGAAAGTTTATGAACTTGGACGCAGTGGCTCATGCCTGTAATCATAGCACTTTGGGAGGCCGAGGTGGGCGGATCACCTGAGGTCAGGAGTTTGAAACCAGTCTGGCCAACATGGTGAAACCCCATGTCTACTAAAAATGCAAAAATTAGCCAGGTGTGATGGTGGGTGTCTATAATCCCACCTACTAGGGAGGCTGAGGCAGAAGAATCGCTTGAACCTGAGAGGAGGAGGTTCAAGATTGGTGTTGTGGTGAGCCAAGATTGCATCACTTCACTCCAGCCTGGGCGAGAGAGTGAGACTATCTTGGAAAAAAAAAAAAAAAAAGAAAGGAAGTTTATGGACTGAAATATGATGCATCTTATAGTCAAACTGATTATCCCAGAAACCTGTTTCATAACTTGAATAATAAGACTGCAAACATTTCAACAAAAAGTTAAAGGTACATAGAAAAAACATAACCAACTAGACAAAAGAAAGCCACTTCATATTAATTTTCAGTGATGATGCCTTTCCAAAAAAATACCTGATGTAGAAATGATGATACAGAAATTGTCAGGATGGGCATGGCCCTCAGTCATTAAAAAGGGCAGCTCCACTGTTCCCCCCAAAAACCCCAAAGAAGTATTTCATATAGTTCATTCTCCAACAAGTGCTACAGTTATCAATTAACAGAGCAGTCAGCTAAAGACATTATATTTTCACCTGCTCCTCTAAAAACAGACTGCTGCCTACCTTCCTCAGAAGTTTTTTCCAAAACAATTTATAATCAACTAACCCTTATGTTTGCCTGACCTGATTCTGTAGAATTTCCAGATTCCTTAATGTTGTTCCATTAATTGTCATAAATTCCATTTTACTTGACAACTGTTTAAAATTCCTGTAAAAGAATCAAATATAATTAGCCTAGATGTAAGTGCATAAAGAAATAAAAACTAATTCAGGAACTAGAAATATTCCAGAAACATTATGGCAAAAATTAGCACTCTGATAGGAAATCAAATCAAAAGGAGCAAAATGAAAATTCACTGGATTGTGTATTCCATTAATGCTGGTGCTGTTAAATATACTGATGCAAGACAAGGATAGTTACTCTAACAAAACAAACAAGAACAGGCAAGGAGAGTAATGGTAACAACATTTTGTTTTGGTTTTGCTCCAGGAATAGAACTGAACATGGTCTTTTATCATTAGCCAAGCACAGTGGTCATATCTTCATGAAAAGCTATGCAATCAGCTAGAAAACTATGTCACGATACTTAAACCTGTCGTCCTTATTCTTTAGCATGAGATCATCTTGACAAATACTTTTAATCCAAATTATAGGCCAGGCACAGTGGCCTATAATCCCACACCTGTAATCCCAGCATTTTGGGAGGCCAAGGCAGGTGGATCGCCTGAGGCCAGGAGTTTGAGACCAGCCTGGTCAATATGGCAAAAACACGTCTCTATTAAAAAACATAAAAATTAGCCAGGCATGGTGGCGTGTGCCTGTAGTCCCAGGAGGCTGAGGCACAAGAATAGCTTGAACCCAGGAGGCGGAGATTACAGTGAGATGAGATCACACCACTGCACTCCAGCCTGGGCGATAGAGTAAGACTACTTCTTAGAAAAAAAAGATTCTCACATATTCAACAAGTATTATTTACTCTGTAATTAATAACACACATTACCATGGCCACGTTTAGTAGGTATAAAACACTGTTATTTCCTTAAGCTCAGTTAAAGCATTCACACTCTCCTTCTTGTCCCTTTATCTATCCAAAACAAAATTAGAAGTTCAATAAATTTCAATGTGAGAATGAGCTACAACATGACTAATAAATGTATGTACAATTCCAATTCATGTTAAGAAGTACTAATCAATGCAGTACTAATGCAGTAATTCAATTTCCTTTATCAGCCAGTCCTTAGATGTTTCTGTCAACAGCACTTAACAGGCTTAAGAGCTTATTTTTTTTTGTTTGTTTGTTTGTTTTTGTTTTTGTTTTTGTTTTTTTTGTGAGACGGAGTTTTGCTCTTGTTACCCAGGCTGGAGTGCAATGGCGCAATCTCGGCTCACCGCAACCTCCGCCTCCTGGGTTCAGGCAATTCTCCTGCCTCAGCCTCCTGAGTAGCTGGGATTACAGGCACGCGCCACCATGCCCAGCTAATTTTTTGTATTTTTAGTAGAGACGGGGTTTCACCATGTTGACCAGGATGGTCTCGATCTCTTGACCTCGTGATCCACCCGCCTCGGCCTCCCAAAGTGCTGGGATTACAGGCTTGAGCCACCGCGCCTGGCAAGAGCTTATTTTTAAAGGCAAGAAAAATAACAGCAGGTCACCAAATTATTTAACAAAAGAAAGGCCTAAGTGTTTGTGCTATAAACCCAACCATCCTTCTCATGGCTGTAATGAAATTTAGGTAACATCCAGGTTCCCCAGTTATAAAAACAAGCCCTCCCCCAGAACTGTAGAGAACCTAAAATCAGAGCCTGAAAAAACAGCACCCAAAAAGAGATTCCTTCACTTCTAGATGACTCCTCTGACCAAGGCCTCAAAGCCCTGGAAAAGAGAAATACGTTGTCTCATATTAAGGATGTTACCTAGTAACTGAATGCTGTCCTTTGTTAGTGTAATGTACCTGTGACAGGTTTGATCTAGCTTCCAAAGAATGATAATCTGTTAATGATTTTCAGAGGGAAGCAACTCCAAAACTGAAGGATAGCAGGTGTTCAGCCCTTTTTCTCCCTCTTGTAGCAGTTAACTTAATTTGTCTTGAATTACACCAATTTTATGTTGTGCCTCTACCCTCCTTAATAGATCTAAGCTCCCTGAAGGCAAGGATTATGTCTTAATTCATCTTGTAGCACCTGTAGGGCTTAGCAGACAGTAGATGCTCTGCAAATATCTGCCATCTCCCTATGGGAAAACCACACTGGGTTTATTTTTTTTCCCTTTGAATCATAAACCTCCAGAAATGTCTGTGAAATACCCAGAGAAAGTTCTAAAATGTAAAACATTATTTACAGGAAGAAACAATTAGGCAGTGATTGGCTGTGTAGCTGACAAAAGCTCACATAAATTCATGGTCAAAGATCAAAGCTGGAAGGGCTGATAGCCTGGGCTCTGAGTTGGTACCTAACCCGTTACCCACATGTTTAGATATGAGCCCTTACTTTCCCTGTTCTGACAGTTATTTTTAACTAAGTCCATCCTAGGGGTGACTAGTTAACACGTTAGTGCCCTAAACAGACATCGACTCTAGAAGGGTACTTAGTTGGCATCTTTGTCCATTTGGTTATAACAGAACACCTCATAATGGGCAGTTTGTAAACAGAAGTTTTTTACTCAGAGTTCTGGAGGCTGTGAATTCCAAGATCAAGGTGCCAGCAGATTTGGTGTCTGGTGAGGGCTCATTTCCCATAGATGGCACTTTCTGTTTGTCTTCACGTGGAGGAGGGGCAAACAGTTCCTTCCAGCCTTTTCTATTAATATAAGGGCATTAATCCCATTTACAAACGATCTGCCTTCATAATCAAATCACTTCCTAAAAGGCCACACCTCTTAATACCTTAAACCTCACATGACTGGTTTCAACATGTGAATTTTGAAGGACACAAACATTCAAGCCATAACAACTGGCATGAGACGAATCAAGAAACCACAATCTAGCAGCCTTTCCTAAAAGCATCTCAGCTAGCTGCCTTTATCTTCTGTCAACAACAGATGTGTTAAGACATAATTTTTCACTGGCAAAATATGTGGTATGGAAGTCCGTGGGTTGTCCAGAAATACTGCCCAGTTGGCTCCTCCCTCACATGAACAGAGTATAATAATCCTGTAAACCCAACAATCCATACCCTAAGGGATCGTGTTTTAGGCTTGGGAATCTGAAAACATCCCCTCTTCTACCAATTATCTCAGGATTTGTTCCCTGACTCCAACTAAAAGTGAACTGTCCATATTATAATGTTGCATATGCTTCAAGTGAACCACTGAAACAAGGTACTATCGGAATACCAAAAAGACAGAATTGGAATTTCACAGAGCTAGAGAAGAGTTTATGTGACCGTTTTTGTGCCCACTTGCTAAAAAGTATCGAAATGGGTGGCAGAATTCAGTTTGAATTACCACTACCTGGTACAGAGGGGGTGGGCTTGTAGCCTTCATCTACACACAATTACCCAATATCTACAATATCAAAAAGAAACCAGTAACTGTCAAAAACCAAGTTCAAGTCAGCTCACAACACCAGACCTTTAGAGAGCAAAAGTGTAGGTTATTTTAATCAATGGTATTAAGGTAAGTATTAATGTGTTGTACGTGTAGTTTTTTATTTAGTTGGTTGTGGATGTTTCTGCCTTTTCTTTTACTGTGGGTGTTTTTGTTTTTTATTTTTGTCCTTACTAAATAAATTATCTAAATTTCATATTAGATGCAGTGAGAACTTTTTTAAACTGACATCTACATTGATTTTTAAAAATGATCAATCACTGGGCAATCTTAAACTGATTCCCACCTAGAATGGTAATTATCAAGCAACTACAAGGACTAACCATGCTTCTGGATTTCCCATATATTTCATAAGTATTTATAAGTATAAATTTATTATTCTGGAGTTGGAGACTTCCTTCCCTATAGAAATGAAATTTCCTTCTGTTAGCACCTATTTCCATTAGAATTATATGTATTTTTGAACTAAGGGTTATATCTGCCAGCATCTTTAGGTATTCAATAGTATCTGATCACTGACCTGAAACACTCAAGCAATTCTAAATTATTTATCCTTGTGGAAGAAGTCAAATTCTATGTGCTTTGAAATGAAACTCATCAACAATGTCTGGCTAGAATTCATGCTGTGTTAACCTGCATAGAAATCTTATACATATGGGAAAATAGTTTATCAATATTTTAGACACCAAAAATACAATGGATGCTTTTTCCCCCTCAATAACGGGAGGAAAACATCTTTGCCAAAAGTGGGATGGAGAAATCAACACTCTATTACTCCAACCCTGCTTAAAAAAAAAAGAAAAATGAAAACCAATCTTCTTAACTTAGACAAAGGCAATAAAGGTATAGAACTTATTTGAAATATTAATCCATTACAAAGATTCTATTTAAACATCATTTTAAAATGGAAACGATGACAAAAAAACTACCACATAACACACGAAATCTATTGCTGAAAATAGTTCTATATGTACAGAAATCTTTTCAGAGTTCATAAATTCAGTTCATAATTTCAGAGTTCACAAATGTGTCTAACATTTTGGCAGTTAATTTGATTTATAAATTATAAATTGCATTATATTACAGAACGTCAGGATTATAGATTCACCTACAATTGATTTGTAATTAAATAGCATGACTAACTTTAATTCCTAAATGCTGCCTAAATAAGCCCATTCCTAAATAAGCCCATTCGAAAGGCAAATAATGAGAAAGGTGTATGCTGAATCCACAAGACCACTGCCAGGTTCAATGATTCATGGAGGATACACAGGACTCGACATAAAATAATACTAACAGCTGTGATTTATTACAATGAAAGAATGAAAAGCAAAATCAGGCAAAGAAAAAGGTGCCTGAGGCAAAGTCCAGGGGAAACCAGGGCCAGCATCCAAGAATCCTCTCCAGGTGTCACACAGGATCCACTTAGTTTTCCTAGCAATGAATTTTAACAACATGTGTGAAATATCCACCAGGGAAGCTTATCAGAGACTCAGCACCCATGGTTTCTATCCTGGACTGGTCCCATAGGCACCCTCTCCCTACCATGTATCAAAATTCCAGCTGCCAGAAAGCAGGTGATCAGCAAAAACCACATTGTTTGCACAGTTAAGGCACAGTGAGCCACTCTCATTGTGAATGGTGAAAACTCTCCCAAAATTCA